CAACCCCTCTGCACCTGCCCCAACCCCTCTGCACCTGACCCCACTCCTGCTGGCTCCGGGTTCCCCCATTGAGCGTCTGAGGGAGCCACAGGTGTTGCAGCGAAAGAGTGGGACACCCGGCCACTGGCCGCCTGCTCGGGCAGCGAATGGAAGGGTGCTCAGGGCGGGGCGGTGGCTGCCCAGCTCACAGGGCCTACATTCGAATCAGGTCTGCCTGCCTCCAAAGCCATGGTCCTTCCAGGGGCCACATTAGCTCACAGACAGAAGGGAATCGGATGAGGTGCGGAGCCCCCTCCCATCCCGGCCTGTCCCGGCCCTCGGGGCTTTTCCTGCCAAGGCTCTGGCCTCCCACTGACATGACGGTCCCTGCTTGACACCTGTAGGCTCCGGAAGGATGGGACCCTCCTCGGGGGACCCACTTCACCCCGAGGTCCTTCTGAAGCACAAGACCTGGCACCGGGGCTCAGCGACTGCTGGTTGAGTAAGTGACTGGCCATGTGCCATCTCTCTGAGGACAGAAACTCGGCCCTGCTCCCTCTGGGTCCCCTCTGCCCGTCCCACCCCGCCCCACCCGGGGCAGGAAGTGCTCTCCTCAGACCACAGGCCCCCGTACCATCTGCCATCTTCTGCTCGCAGTCCATGAGGTCCCGGCAGACCCGGGCGGGGTTCTCTTTGGTGCCCAGGGGCGTCTTAATGCTCTGGATGAGGTGGCTGAGGTAGTGTAAGGTTTTAAAGATCTCCCCTCCCTGGTCCAGCACCAGCCGGTCCGGATGGCTGGAAACCTGCCGTGAGGAGAGAGCCATCAGCCCCTTGAGGTCCTGGCTCAGCCCGAGGTCAGAGCCTCCACAGCCCCAGGGGCATGGTTGGAGCAGGCGTTGGGTCTACAATACTTAGATAAAGAAATTGGGGTCCAGGGATGGACTGGGGGTGGGGTAAGTGCTGCCATGGGGGCTTAGAGGCTCGAGAGGAGCGGTGGGCAGGTGTCCATGAGCAAGGCAGCCAGGTGTGTGGAACGCTGGGAATGGCCCCAAATCCTTCCAGAGGGGGTTGGTGGAGGTCTTCCCCAGACCCTCGTACCCCCCATGAAGGAAAATAATGGGCTCATCCATGCTGCCCTTTGCCCTGGATTGTGAGCCCCCAGAGAGTAGGACAAATGGAAATGCAGGCAGGAGGTCTGAGCTGGCGGGCGTGGGGGTGAGTCCCCCATTGGGAAGGAGGCAAGACAGCAGGGGGCACTCCTGACGGGGTCTCACTAGAGGGCACCGAGCGCCTTCCCAGCCCGGAGTCCCGGAGTTGAGGTGACCCCAGGCCGGGGGCTTGGCTGAGCCCTGTGGGATGGCTGCGAGCTTCCTGCTCCGGGCAGACTGTGGCCTGAGCCGTGGGAAGCTGCTGTGGGCGCTGGGCCAGCAGGAACACCGACACCCCGCGAGGGCTGAGGAGGAAAAAGGGCTCGGGGACTGGCTGTGTGACCGTGGCGGTGTCGCCAGCTACTCCCGGCCTCAGCCACGCCCCCCCACCTGCGGTTGTGAGATGCCCACTGGGGCTGTGAAGGGCTCGGTGCAGGCCGCGTGGGTGGGGCAAGGGCCACACATTATTTCCGTTTCCCCCGGGAAAGAATCCCTCGTGGCAGGGCTCCTGCTGGTACCTCTGCTCTCAGTGCTCCATTAGTGTCCATCCACGTCTGGAAAGCTGCCCCAAGGTCATCTTGTTGCTGTGCAGGGAGAAGACGGGGTGTGCATCCTGGACCCCCAGGGTCTGAGCGCCCACTCTCCACCCCACCCTAGCAGCAAGGTCCTGGCTAAGGCACAGGCCCTCCGTGGAACTCTGTCCTTCCTCCCCAGGCAAAGGGAGTCTGGCCCTTCCATGCCCTTCCCTGAGGCACTTTGTAGCTCATCGCCCTCAGGATTAAGTCCAAACTCCTCAGCATGATTACAAGACCCGGCCTGAGTGCTGTGGCCTCTGGCCCGCCTCTCTCCCACATCTATTCTGTGCACAACACACTACCATACTTCTAAGCCCTAAAGGCCATGCTTTATCTAGCCACAGGACCTTTGCACATG